TAAAAAAATTTATTGATTTGTTATTTTTAAATTTTGAATGATGATATAATATATAAGTTAATATTATTATTAAATTTTTAAAGATGAAATATCAAAATAAAATTTAAAATAAATATTAAATATTATTTTCTAAAAAAATAAAATTTAATATAAAAACAGAATAAAGATAGTAATTTAATTACTAATCTTACAGTTTACCCTTTAGGGGGCGTTTGGTTCATGTAATCTTGGATTATCGGGGGAATGTAATGTCATTCCCCCGTTTGGTTGGAAAACATTCTCAATCCCCGGTAATCCTTTATTCTCAACCCCCGATAATCATTTATTACCAACAATGGTATTTTGGGGATATATTAACGGGAATCTAGTTACCTCACTTCCCTTTGATATTGTTTGATTACCAACATTTTTGACTAAAATGCTCTTAAAAAAATTCAAAATTTTATTTCTTCTATTGTTGAATAAAAAAAATATGTGAATGTTAAATTACAAATTTATCATTAAACTATTTTAGATTTACAAGAAAAAATTCATAATTATAATTTTATATGAAGTTCAGGGGTTAACATAAAATGGTTAAAATAAAATTTTACTATTTCATTAAACCTATTTATTTTTTTAATTTTGTAAAGAAATTATATAAATTTTTTAAATTTAAATTTTTTAAAAAATATATATAAATTAGTTATAGTAAAATTATAATAGAATTCAACTTGTTAAACAAATAAATATATAATAAGAAAAATTTGATAAAATAATAATTCCAATAATAATTTTATTCATTTAATCAAACATTATAATCTTACATTACTACTAAACGATCAAAATACAAAATAAAACATTTTCAATAATCTTATTTCCTCAAATAATCATATTTACGCTGATAATTTTATTTTATATAAACTAACTCACCATTAAAAAAATACGTGATTGTTCAGACCACCAAAATTGGGATAACTCGTGAGTTGGGATCATAAATATTACGTGTCCTATAATATAACAAAATTAAGGCTTTACATTAATTGGGTAACAATTGTCAGTCCCGTCCCGTCACATCAGATAACAATCATTCATGACAACTCATCCCAATCTGTTTAACGAAATATCATTCTAAAAATAGAATGGGTAAACTACAGCATTTCTCGTTTAACTCTTTCTTATTTTATTCATTTTACTTTTAATTTTTCTAATTATTAATTGAACTTTTGATCAATTTAAATTATTTTATTATTATTTTGATATTAATAGAATATATAAATATTTAGAATGAAATATATAATTATACTAAGTTTTTTAATTGCCACAGTACCTCCTCTATTCAAAGTTAACGGCAAATGACTTGATTGAAATATTTAAATAATTAAATGGTTTGATTGAAAAATTTAAAACATTGATGGTGAAAACGAAAAGTAACAATAGTTGAATGGTCATACGAGTAATTTATCCTATTTTTTCTCTTTCAAGTATGGTTACCCATATCTTGATAGATTAATTAAATTAAATTCATAATTAATCGTTATATAATAAATAAAAAATTAATAATTGAAATATTTCTAAATTAAACTATAATAAATCTAAAAAAACGATACACACAAAATTTACGCAGAATGAAAGTTGATATTCAGTATACACGACAAGGTTATCAACAAATGGAGAAAAGAAAAGATATTCCTTAAGATTTCACAATGCAAAAAATATTTATTAGCAATGAAAATCGATTGCTGTGTGGGATATTCGACAGTGCAAATGCTGCAAGCAAGTATCCTTCAGCTTCCATCTTATGTTCTTCGGATCATTATTATCTTTTTAGAAATTATTCAACACTTATTCGTATTAGATAATCCGAATTCAAGCAGCATAATCGGTAAGGATAATGCATTGACACCAGCAGATATTCCCAGAAGTATGCTCTCCTTTCCTGCACAGACATATATGCATTTAGATAGAGCAAGCAGGGCCTAAGAATACAATTGAAACATTTTTTTAAGACAGGAATGAAACCTGCTTCTTCCAATTAGTAAAAGCAATGGCAAAGGCAAGAAGAAGAGGGCCTTGAACGCTTTATCCTACCAGATAATATGCCGCAAGATCAACCATAAGCTCCAATATGTTGCCACTCAATTCCTCTTACGATCCCTGCATTCGCCAAATATTAGGTCACTATCATGTGATATATATAGGAAAGTATTTAAAGTAGTTTTTACACGCTTTCGATATTTTTTTACAATTAATATTTTAACAATTTTATCATTTTCCTCTAAATATTATTCATGTTGATCATGTATACGAGCTTAAATTAAATTGAAAATATCTGATATAAACTAGTTTTAACCGTTAAGTATAAATTGATATTTTTTGTACTCAAGCTTGATTTTAAGGTTCAATTTGATATTTAATGTTTCTTCAAAACAATTTAATTTTTCTTGTTCAGAGGGTTGCCTTGCCTGCTGTTTGCTGTAGTTGATGTTAGCTTTGAATTCGTTTATAGCAGCCCTCGTGCGTGCAGCTCGTGTTGGGTCTGGTTTATCACTTGTGGCGTTTGTTGATCGGCGTGGTTGTCGTGTTGTAGTTCTCTTCGACAGTGGTTTGGACACTCTTTTTCCTTCATTTAAGATTAGGAGGTTTTTTAACTGGCACACTCCTTTATCTAATTTTATATGGGTTTGCAATAATATTCAAAATTTACTTTTTTTTAAAAAAAAAATGAACTTTCAATTTGGTATCTAAACATTTTTTTGTCAAATTATATACTTGAATTTGGTTTCTTGACTTAAATTAATTCATGAACTTAACTTTTTGATTCAAATACTACCAATTATTTTTAACCGATTTGAACTAAAAATCAAGTTTAGTTGCCAAATTGAACAAAAAAAAAGGTAAAATTTATGTATCAATTTGAACCAAAAGCCGAACCAACGTATCTAATTGGACCAGAAAAAGTTCAGGCCGAATTGAGCATTGAAGTTCAGGTACTTCATTAAAAAAAAGAAGCTTAGATACTAAATTGATCCTTGAAGCCAATTTAAGTACCAAAATGTATATTAACTCTATTAATAAAATCGCTATTCTCAGTTGATATGGTAATGATTCATATTGATATGATTCTTTATAAACATAACAAATATATTTATATTGATAAATTCCATTGTCAGATTATTTGTGTGAGCTTGTATTCATTGCTGTAAGCAAACTCGAAAACATGGCGACAACAGACAAGAATTGTACTAACAATGAGTGTTTCTACCAATGTAAGAAGCACTGAGACGAAGGTGGTTAGTTGAGATGCCTGTGGATTTCCAGCTCCTAATGCATTTGAAATTCTACATAACCCTGTAACATTAAGTCAATTCCCTAAGTCGTCAGAAAAATTCAGATATGCATAATTGAAATTCGAAAATCTTGTATGTTCCAGTTAGGCTCATGTCATCCTAATGGCATTTCATTGGGAATCAAATTAGTGGAACACAAAAGGAAACTTAACCGAACGATTTTGCTCTACGACTCGAAATAAGTTTCTCCTTTCTTTTCTTCTTCACAAACAAGGAAAGATACTTGCATTTTTCACTCCCACAATTAGATTGGTTATCGTGAATTATGCTGGTATAGATGGTTATGGTGAATGTGGTGGTGATGTTAAGCCAATAATTTGTTTGACTACTTTGTCTTGTGGGAATTTGTTGATCCGAACTAGTTCACAGTGTGCGGTTAATGTGTTTTTACCTTGCTTGAGTTTTGATCGTGCCAAGTGGCTGGTTGTGGGCATACTTCACATTGCTTATTGTTGTTCTTAAGTTGAAGCTGGATACTGGTACTGCCGTGGCCATCGTGGTTCCTTTCTGTGTAGAATTTAGAGATGGGCATGGTTTGGGTTGGTCAGATTTTTCGGTCGACCTGACCTGACCCGACCCGAAAATTATATAGCATCCACCCAATGAAACCCGAAAAATATACACCCTCTTCTTGATCTGAATCGGACTCAACTTTTTGAAATAAAATCTGAACCCGACTAGAACCTAAATAATATATTTATTAAAAATATTACTTTTATTTAATAAAAATAGAGATTTAATTGAAAAAAATTATATATAGGGCATTATTGTAATTAACCCTAAATATGGAGGGAAATTATATATTTTTCTCAGATATGATATTTTTTATCCTAAACTCGAAACTGACCCGACCTGAATACTACCCCTAAAAAAACCCAACCCAACTTAAACCAGAATTTTTTAAAAAAATCAACCCGATCCGGATCCAGATCCAGATCCCATCCCTACTGTTGATCTTGATTTGTTCTGCAGAGTGATGCTGTTGAGCTCTTCACCCTCTGCTTTGTAGAGTGTTTGTTTCTATATTTTATGACCACAGTTGTAATAACTTGATTATAGTGGAAAAAGATTTAAAGTTAAGAAGATTTTTTAATGAATCTCGTACTTTTATACTTTTATCCTATATGTATTGTCAATTTTACAATATAAAACCTTCTTTTTTTAAAAAAAAAAAATCAAGATTTAATTATTTTGTTGGGTACTCTCACCTTGTCGATATAGTATACTCTTACTTTAATCGCATATTTATCAAATCCATTAAATATTAATTTAATTAGTATGATGGTTATTATAACATTTAAAAAATTGTAAGTTTGATTTTTTTGAATATAATTGTTCCGTTTAAGGGGATTGAGATTATGAAAAGTTTAGATACTATATTTTTTTAAAGAAAATTTCAAATTTATCGCAGCCTAACAAAATTGGCCATGATGCTTATGATTAATGTAAAAATTACTTACAGATAAATAAAGAAATTTAAATAAAACTACTTTTAATATTTACCACAAATCATTATGAATACATCAAATCGTCGTTTCCCCCCCGTCAATTAGCCCACAAAGCCAGCAACTTACAAATAATAGCACAAATTGAAACTTCATAGGTAGCATTCTCCACAGAAATCCTTCATATGATCACTGCAATTTTCTTTGTTTTACAATTGGGACCACATCATTCGGCACGAATAGGCTCCTCGGCTATGGTTTCTAGCAATGGTTTCTTGGACCTTGTCATGGATAACCTATGCATAAACTCTGGAGCTGAAAACTCTTCGATATCATCCAAGTTAAGATTCGGCTGCATTGACCATTCCTCCTCATTCTCCTCTTCATCAGTTTCCGGCAAGATCCTTACATTTCCTGCGAAACCCTTTCTGGATGCCGAATTAGCAGCAATAAGCAAAGCTCCCATGTCAGCTGCGGTGACCGAAGAGTTCACTCTCTTCATCGGAAACATGACGTATACGTTGGCCAACTCTAAATCTTCGTCTGCATTTAGAGGAGAGATTCTGCGGCCGAGCTTGAGTGACTTAGAGTTTACGACGACGAAGTTTGGAGTTTCAAGCATCAGCTCAGCCGCTTTGATGGGTTCCTGGAATCTCCTGATTTCTCCGGTGGCGAGAATCACTTTGGTTGTTTTTGATGATCCCAAAGGGTTTGATAAAGCGCAAGAAACGTAGTTCCCCATATTGATTACAAGCTCTATGTTCCTGAATGCAAGAAAAAGGAAAGATGAGTGTTAAAGAGGGTTTATTGGGGAATTGTGGAAAGGAATATGTCAACTTTGCAAGGGAATGGAGGAGTTGTTGATATACGGCACACGAAAATGGTCATCATATAATATAAATAGATTTAAGGTTAAACTTCACAAATGATCACTAAACTTTTCTAAAATAATTTTTTGGACACTAAACTTTTAAAAGTTACAAGAACCCTCAATTACAACTAAAATTTTATTTTGGTACTTTTTAATATTTCTAAAAAATAAAATAAGAAATTATTTATATATAAGAAAATTTTCATTAATTTAACATGTCACATCATTCCATTGATGATTAATAACTGTAGTTAACAATGCAGTGCCCATTTTATAACAAAATCTATAATCTAATACACATTTTATATCTTTTGAAAGTTCAGTGCTCGAAAAGAACATTTCGAGATAATTTACTGAATATCTGTGAACTTTACCCATAGTTTAATTATGCCACAGTCCCTGTATTTTTCTAGCTTTTAAATTTTTATCCATTATATTTATTTCCAGACATTTAATCTTTCTGACTTATCTAATTTTAAAATTAAAATCTATTTGATAATGATGTTAATAAATTTCCTTTAAATTTAAATGTGTGGAATTTTAATATTTAAATATCTGATTTCAAAATTAAAGTCTAATGAATAATACATATTAAAATTTAGTAAAAAGAAATCAATAATGTTATTAATATAACTTTAATTTTAAAATCAAAAGAAATCTTAAATTATAAGCAAATGGATTAAATTTTAAAAGCTCAAAAAGTACGTGGAGTGGAGGCAGAATGAGACCAAATGAATGCAGAAAATGCGTAGGGAGACTCTTCAAGTGTGAAGGGGGAAATGGTTGACAATTGATTGGCCAAGCCCCGCGTCAAGGAAAAGGAGAGTAAACTTCTAGTCATGTAATTTGGAAGCTACAATCTATAAGCTGCAATCCTTACACGTATATAACATGGGGGTAAACTACCAGTTGATTTTTTTTTTATTTTCTTCAAATTTGATAACCAAAATTGAAAAGATTATATTTCAGCCACTTATGTTATTGATTTTGTTTTTTAATTTATCATTAAGTCGTTAACTTCGGCCAACATATTTGTTTAGATTCGCGGGCATTTTAGAAAAAGTAATATTGAAAATGTTGTTAAAAAACTTTTAAAAGTGTTTTTGAACATGTAATTTAAAAGTTAATTGTGTGAGTTTGATGTTAAAAAATGATATTTAAAAGATAAAGTATTTATTTTAGACATTATATTATAAATAATTGAGGATAAAAATGTAATTTCATCCTAGAGTGATTTGCACGACAAAAGCTATAAATTTTAGCTTTAGAGGTTGGGTTGAAAATCATTTTTTAAATCGTGATTTAAAATTAATTTTTAGATATTTAACCTTGTTTATACGATGAAAAATCATTTTTTACAGTCAAAAGTATTCCCAAACAGGCCATGATCATTCAGTTACAATAAAAATATATTTTTTTAACATTCATTTGATTTTTTTCCCAAATCGAGTTGCTCGAGTTTATGTTTAAATTTAATTTTAAATATTTATAATATTATTGTATTAATTGATTTTAATTTAAACAACTTCCTATAATCTTGAACTTTATTTGATTTTTTTTATTTGAGCCAACAAACTCAATTTTTCGAGTCAGATTGAGTTTTGCTCACTTCTACAGTTTAGTGACTAAATTATAACAAATTAAGATAACATTTTTTATTCCAGTGAATCAAATTTGAACAAAATTAAAATAAAGGTGATCAAACTGGTAGTTTACCCTATAAAATTTGACCTCAAATACTAAGATCCTTGTTAAATAATAATGCATGTGGACCCCATACCACCCCATCCCATCTTATTTGTCTTTGTTTTTCTTACAATATAACCATCAATCAATTAGTTCAATTGATAACTTCCTGGCAAGTGGCAACTCAACCAAAACTCCCCAGAAAAAGTCTATTTTATATGCTTTGATTAATTTAATTAAATTCGGAGGTGGATGAGATCATGCATATCCAAAGCTGAGTCACCTAAGCAACGGGAAGGCATGTGAAGCTTAGTTGTTTGACTTTCAATGAATAGTCAACGACTTGGATGGAAGTGGTTACTGCATTTTTCTTATTGGTACAGATGGGTGCCAGTAGCGACGGCGTTGACGGTGGTGGTATCGGTGTGGTTTACTCAAAATATAATTCAACTTATCATATACCGCTGCGCTTCACCGCATTGTTGGTGCCAGCAACCGCTTATTCAATTCCGTCTATTATTCGGATTTATGTCCGGAAATGTATAAACTAAGTTACGGCTAAATAATTAAATCATATGCCTTGTTCTTAGAAATCAATTTATTATGTATTTTCTTTTTTTAAAAATAGATGTACCATCATTTATTTTATTTATTGATTAATGCACTGTGAATTTTAGGAAAGCCAACCATGTGGCTGATGATGATCGTACTGGAAAACTCATCAATAAGAATTTTATAATAGTAAGCTACCCCAGGCAAATTTATATAATTTTACTTAAATCAATTAGATGAATTTGATAGTAAAAAGAGAATGTTATTTTTTAAAATAATTTTTGAGTTTATTTAATTCAATTAAAATTTATTTACTCAATATTAAATATCTCTTTTTCTCTAATTTATTTTTTCAACCAATATTTTTGTGTCATCTTATTTTTTTCTTTGATTTTTGTTTAATCAGCGTAAACACAAATTTTAATATTAGTTGTCAACCGCTTATGAATATTATTTTTCTTATTTTTTTTTCATATTACATTGATTGATTTTATTTTTCCTATAGTTTTTTCAATTTTAAATAAGAATCTATATCATTGTGACACACTTTTCTATGTTATTGTAGCGCGTTAGTTTTTAGTCTTGTGACACGTTTTTTTGTACTCCCGTGACACTTTTTATGTTCTTGTGGTACGTTCTTTATGACTTTTAGTATGTTTTTTCAAATACCTCTGTGGTCGTATTGGTGCTCACACAAATATCATCATAACATTTGTTTTCTGATTGATTTATCTGTGGTTATGTATTGTCAGATCTCCTCTTTGGTAAAAGGTTGTTTGCTGATATAATCAGAATTGTATAGTGATGCAGTCTTTCAAATTGTTTGGTTCGCTCACCACTACTTTATCACTTCGTAAAGCTTCTCATTCGACAAAGATAAATAATTTTATAAAGGTTAATGAGTTATTTTAATGTTGGATGTCATCCTCAATGAAAAGTTTTGTTTTTTTTCTTATATTTGAGTTTAATATTTTTGTTTTATGAATGAGTTTTTTTATGACTACTGTCCCTAATTTTCTCGTTATGTGCATTGTAATTTTGATTCTTTTTATCAATAAAATACAATTGTCATTGTTCAAACAATTTTGAATTCAAAAAATTACTTGTATTTGGGTGTATGTGCGTTATCAATATTACTATATTATATTATCCTTTGACAACCGTTAATGATAATTAATAACGAGGTATCTCTATTATAGTAAAATTATTATTTTTTAATAAAAAATAATCATTTTTATCATAGTTTAAAATTTAATATATTTTTAAGATTAAATTAAAACAAAATTAAAAGCACGAGGATTAAGAATGAAATTTTATAGAAAATTTATTATATAATAAAGCAAAACAATGAACTTAAGGAACGAGCCTGGCAATTTAATTAATTTAAAATTGTTTTCTAATTTTTTATTTTCTTTCTTCATAATTTGGTAAAAAACTGTAAAAGAAAATAAAATGTTTTATACCACCAAAATCACTTGCTCTTGCAGACGACTTTTGAAAAAAATATATATTACATTTTTATTGTATCTTTAAAATCAAATTATTTTTAAAAAAAATAATCAAGTTAAAACTAATTTTAAAAGTTTTATATTTTAATTCCTCCACTTTTTTTTCTTTATATTTGTATACTTCGGCGTTTTTCCCGAAAAATCACCGGTAATAGGTATATTTACTGATCTAACACCGGTCAGATTATATTTCCCGATCTAACACCCTTAGCAGTAAAGCGCGTCCCCTGCACCGCGCTATATGCTGATTTGGCGTCACGTGGGGTATAGCGCGCCCTCTGCACTGCTCTATATAATGGCATTGGATACACGTGGGTAAAGCACGACCCCTGATCCGCGTTATATGCCACGTAGGGGTATAGCGCGGATCAAGGGGCGCGCTATATGCCACGTAGGGATATAGCGCGGATCAAGGGGCATACTATACCCCTGAGATTTCATTTCATTGCTTGTTTTTTTATTAAAAACACATCTAATAATTTGCCCGTAAAAATAAATAATCTCAGACCAGTTTGTTTTCTTTTTCTTGGTATTTATCAGATTTTACATATTAAAAAACTGTAAATGCAATTAATTATTTAACAAAAGTAATTAATTAGGAGTTTTTACCAAAAAATCACTCAAAACAACGAAATATTATCTGTTAGACGCTCTTTATCCAAATATTATTGGTCTAGTACCCTTTCTAACAAAGCGCGAATCATGAAGCGCGTATTCACGGGGTTCCGTCTGAGAAGGCGATAATTTATTGTTTTATTATATTAATTTTTTTATTACTTTTTGTAATTATAAAATGGCAGGTGGGCTACTGTGTTTATATGAGAATCATATGTCGAGTTATTTTTTTGATAAGGTAATAATTTTAAATTCTGTTATTTTATTTATTATGAATGTTTTATTTAGTTATTTTTTAGTATTAGTTTATATTTTAATTTGTATACAATTTATTTAATTTGGTGAATGATTGTATATTAAATTCATTTATTCATAACGTTAAGTTAAAGATATTAATCGTGTCTGGACGTATTTACCATTGACTGGATACGGTGACATAGCGAAATATGAAGGGCATTGTAACATTGAACATAACCTTATTTCTGCACTAATTGACATATTAAAATATAT